ACAGTTTAGAAGATTTGGATAAAAACAGTTCATAATCACAGTTATGGATAAAAACCCAACATTGACAAAACCACGATTTCCAGTAAATAGTAACTGACTCATGATGTGAGACTTGCTTGTTCTGCAGACTTTTCTGTTTAATAGAATTTGTTGAAATCAAATTAGCAAAGCCCTAATTATCATGGGCCATTTGCCATGATATAAGAATAGTTTTGCTAAGCAAAACTCTAATATATTAAAGTGCCTTCATTAGTAAGATTTTACCTCTAGTAATCAGAAGTAACTAACTAAACCAAGAAAATCTAAGAGAATCTTAGCATTCATATCATAAGCAATCTTTTAGGCAGAAAATATAAAGATCCCAGAAAGTACACAAATAATTTACCTCACATATTCATCAAAATTAACTCTCAAATTTTAGATAGCTAAATATTTTCAAGATTTTGGCCTTTTCAAGATTGTCATTCAAAAATATATTCACCATTGTTCTATGAGATTAAAGTATGATAAAATAACTTCTTATCCTTAAGGAATTTCTATTTTAGGTGGTAGAAATACTTTCGTGAGAAATCACAGAACATGGTAACAAAACCAAAGTACCTGTTAAGTTGCACTCCATGTTGTTTGACATTCCATCAATATTTGGAAGAATATATCCAATGTCAGGGACAATGATAGCATCCATGAATATAAGAGTTAAGATTCTGAATTTAATTTTCCTAGCTGTTTTGGCACTGTGATTTAGTCACTGCATTTTATCCCGATTAAGCAACTGGCACCCATTTTACAAAATTGCAAGAAAAAAATGTCACTATGGGTCATGGAGATGAATTCATTGATTTTGGCATACATCAACAATACTCCAAAGATAGTATACTATCAACACTCATTTTTAGTTCTTTTACTTGTTCCAATGGTAGGTACCATGTTTTATCACATAATTTGTTTTAAAGGCTGAAACCTTCTCTGTTAAACATACAGGACTGTGAACCATTCTCTGGTAAAGTACACATTCTATTAATCATGCTGGAAAAAGTTCAATAGGTGTTTTTAACTTAGTGTACAGGTTTTTCTTTTTTTCTTTTTTTCAACTATCTGCTTCCAGGAGGTTAAGTATGGTAAATCTAATTATTTCAGAAAGGGCTACTCCCCCTCATTTGAATTCCATGCAAGTGTAGTCAACAAAACAAACAGTGGTTTAGGCAGTCTTAACTTTTTTTTTTTTTGCGGTAAGCAGGCCTCTCACTGCTGTGGCCTCTCCTGCCACGGAGCACAGGCCCAGCCGCTCCGTGGCACGTGGGATTCCCCTGGACCAGGACATGAACCCGCGCCCCCTGCATCGGCAGGCGGACCCCCAACCACTGCGCCACCAGGGAAGCCCTTAACTTTTTAATATAAATTTATTTTTTATTTTATTTATTTTTGGCTGCGTTGGGTCTTCGTTACTGTGCGCGGGCTTTCTCTAGTTGTGGCAAGGGGGGGCTGCTCTTCTTTGCAGTGCGCGGGCTTCTCACTGCAGTGGCTTCTTTTGTTGTGAAGCATGGGCTCTAGGCACGTGGGCTCAGTAGTTGTGGCTTGCTGGCTCTACAGTGCAGGCTCAGTAGTTGTGGAGCACGGGCTTAGTTGCTCCGCAGCATGTGGGATCTTCCCGGACCAGGGCTCGAACCTGTGTCCCCTGCATTGGCAGGGGGATTCTTAACAACTGCACCACCAGGGAAGCCCAGTCTTAACTTTTCGAAAACTTATTTTTAGAAGAACTAGCAAAATGTATTCAAAGTAGTAATGGTTGTTTTACTAACTTTATTTTTACACTGCTCTATGGTTCTTTGTAACTAAGTCCTTAAAGTTAGGATGTTTTTAATTAGTGAGAAATGGACACAACAAATACTTTAAAGAGGTCAAAAGTAAAATGAAATTGGCATTTAATATGACAGTAAAGACAGAGTGATTTGGTAATCAAGAAGCACAACTATTTAAAACAGATATAAGGACCTTTTGTTAAAAAAAAGGTCAAATTTTAGTTAAGTTTTGTTTTTGTCACCATGTAGACTTTCCCTATCGCTTTGCTATAATACAAAGAACTCACTGGGGGGATTCTCTGGTGGCGCAGTGTTTAAGAATCCGCCTGCCAATGCAGGGGACGTGGGTTCGAGCCCTGGTCTGGGAAGATCCCACATGCTGCGGAGCAACTAAGCCCGTGCGCCACAACTACTGAGCCTGTGCTCTAGAGCCTGCAAGCCACAACTACTGAGCCTGCGTGTCACAACTACTGAAGCCCGCGCACCTAGAGCCCGTGCTCCACAACAAGAGAAGCCACCGCAATGAGAAGCCCGCACACTGCAATGAACAGTAGCCCCCACTCGCTGCAACTAGAGAAAGCCTGGGCACAGCAACGAAGACCCAACGCAGCCAAAAATAAATAAATAAAATAAATTTATTTTAAAAAAGAAAAAACAAAGAACTCATTGGGAAAGCTTTATTCATTCAGAACGATCAATAAGAAGTGTGCTTCCAGTTACTTGAAATTGATATAAAAATTTGAATTCAAATACTATTTTAAATACAGATTCCTTTGGATTTTTTTAGTGAATATGGAAATGATTTCTGGTTAAAATATCTCTTTTTAAACAGGTTGAAAATTTGTTCAAGTTATAGTTATGTGTCTTAAAATTGTTAATTTTACTAAAAAAAAGGATAGACAAACAACCTACACTCTTTCTAGGAGACACTACAAAATGAAAAAAACTTTAGTTCAGCTTCTTTCCAAATTATGTTTTCTAGGGTAATAGAATCTTATTGCTTTTTAAAAAGTACATGAAACAAACAAGAGATCCATTTAACAGGAAGACTTTTAGACGTTTAAATTCTCTGTCACTAGCTTGGAATAACAGCAACCAAAAGACTGAAAACCCAATCTAGATATTGTGTAGTTTATGCCGTAGAAGTATACTTTTAGAATTTTGAGCTTAAATACAGATGCTTTTTTTCTATTGTGATAATGTTTACTCACATTGTGTTTACCTCAGGGTGACAGGTATGACTGGTAAAGGGCACAAGCGGACCTTCTGGGGCACTGAAAATGCTGTATATTTTAATCTAGTGGTGGTAACACGAGTGTATGTAAAATTTCACCTAGCTGTATACTTAAGCTTTATGTACTTTATGTTATATGTTATATTTCAAGAAAAAAGTAAAAAGAGTATTTAGCTACTTTATGAAATGCCCACCAATTATTTTACGATGAGTCATTAATATGACTTTGTTAGTCAAAAATGCATAGGGGAAAAACAAATTATCTGATACTCATGGCCTAAGGACTGCTAGTCACTCTGAGGTAAATTAACTATATCTGAAGCTAGAGCAAAGCTTTAATGATGAGATGTTGCTGGTAGTGTATCAGAAATTGTGTCAGGAAGAATACAATGTATCAGCTTAACTATGAAGGACTGAAGTGTTATAACAGTTTAAACAACAACTAGAAGATCAGAACATCTTCAAATAAGTGACATGACTGGCATGTTTATTTGATTTATGATTACCCATGCTTTTTACTTACGGCTTCTTAATGTTTGGGTTTTTGTCATTGTATTGCTTGGACTTCCAAATGATGGGGAATTAAAGTTAAATTAGTTTTGTTGCCTATTCTGAACTGTTGTTTTTAGTGTGGTAAAAAGCTGAAGTTATGACTGTGCTTTTAAAATTATGTATTCTACTTCCTAGCTATTATGGGAGAAAAGAGTTGGTTTACGCAGGGAATATAAACACTTAATCTGCCTCAAATGTTTTTTTACTTTTGCTCAGAACTATGTTAATTCTCATCACCTCCAAAAGCCTTTGAGAGGATTAGCTGCATAGACCAATATTGTTCTATATTAGTCAGTATTAAGCATATGATGTCACCTTGTTTCCTCTCCTCCTCAAGATTTTTTTTTTTGCGGGGAGGGCGGGGGAATTGTTTTTTTTTTTTTTTTTTTTGGCAATTCTCAAAATACTGTGGCTTAAATACCACTAGCTGGCACACATGATTGACAACCTTACACTCCCAAACCTGTTTGAAATGGGTTAAATACCTAAGTGCTGCAGAACAATGCAAACCAACCAGCAATTCCTCATAAAAGAGAAAGGGGGTGTGATTAGGTTCCAGCTATTAAGCAAGTTATTGAAAAAACAGTTTGGTGGTTTGTTTCTGCAATAGGCGCAGGTTAAGCTAGTATTTTCTCTCTTAATTAGCTCAAAAAAAAAAAAAGACTAGTCTATAAGAGGTAGGATAAATAGCCAAAACAAAACATGAAGCAACTGGGGCAAACACACTCGGGGCTTTACGGAGGTCTTTATACTGATCCTCGACATTGGTTATGGCTTATTAACCCCGCCGGAGAACTATCGAACGGAATCTGTCTGAGGCTTATCCAGCCCGGGGAAAGGAGATGCAGGAGAGAATAAAGCTTCTAATAAAAGAAACGCAGCAACAATAGCAGAGGAACAGCTCTGCCTGGTGACGTAATGGCTGGCAGCAGTCCAGCTTCAGCAGAGCTGCTGCTACCTCAGCATCCAACCTCTCTCAACACAGTCCAGCTTCAGCAGAGCTACCGGGGCTGCTACTTTTTGCGATGCCACTTTGTCGGTGGCACCGACACCTTCCCTTAGAGGGCCAGGACTCTGAACAAAGGCTGGTCCTGCTGTTTCAAGTTGTCGGAACACACACTCTCGCTCACACCCCGCAAGCCCCTCAGTCGCCGAGCCGATCGGCTGCTTAAGTTTAGGACGAGAACCCTGGCGCACACACCATGCGTGCCTCGGTTTCCCCCGGGCTGCTCTCGGGTCCGCCTCTCGCGGTTCGCACCCCCCCCCCCCCCCCCCCCCCCCCCCCCCCGGGCGACCCCGGGGCCCCCCCCCCCGGGTTCCCCCCCCCCCCCCCCCCGCCACCGGTCCTCAGCCCGAGTTGAACTCGGCGGCCCCGCTCTCCCGCCCGGCCCCGCGTGCTGGTCCTCCCGCCTTACCTCCGCTAGGTAGAGGTTGAGGAGACAGAGCGTGGAGAACTGGAGACAGGAGGGGAAGCAGTAGAGCAGCCAGTGGGGGAAGAAGTGCAGGTGAGCGGGCGGCCGGAGCAGGGGCAGGGAGCCGCTGAGCGAGAAGGCGGCGGAGAAGAGGGTGGTCCTGAGCGCTGCCCACAGGAGACAGAGGAAGAGGCAGAGGCTCTGGTAACTCAGCCGCCGCTCACGGTACAGGAGCAGCCGCCACAGCTGCAGGTAGGCAAAGGCGAAGAGCGCGGCGTAGAGCAGGGCGTGCAGGATGCTCAGCGCCAACTGCACGGAGCCCGGCACCGCGGCGCCTCCGCCGCCCCCGCCGGGCGTGGAGGGCTCGCGGCCGGCCGCCGGACCCGGCACGGACGCCCTCATGAGGGGGCTAGGGGGCGGGCGAAAGAGCGCGGGAAGCAAGGGGCCGGACTCGGAGCCGCTGTCGAGGGGGAGAAGGATGTCTCCCTGACCCCCCACCCACCCCAACCTCCAACCCCAGGAAGCGCCGTGACAGGACCCGGAGCCCCGCGGAGAGCAGCCGCGGCTCCTGGGACCCCGCCTCCTCTCCCCGCCCCCCCCCCCGGGGGGTCTCGGCTCCTCCTGCTGCGGCTCGGCTCGGTAGCTGCAAAAAACAACTCTCGGCTGGAGACAATCAGCTGAGAAACCCGAGCATTTGAGGTGCTCGCTCCGCACCGTGGGCTCCCGCCGATTGGCCCAAGCGGGCTCGCCCCCTGCGCGCCGCGCTCGGAAGGCCACAGGCCGCTGGACCTGTCGCTCCAGGAGGCCAAGCTCTGATTGGGTGCCCGCTTTCCCCTCTTGCTCCTCCCCTTCACTCCCCACCCATGCTGCCGATTGGCCCAGCAACTGCACGGCCAGCTCGCGCCTGCGGGCGGGCTCGGTTGTCGCCTGTCAGCGGGGCGGCTGTCGCTCCGCCCCCTGCGCTTCCCATTGGCTGGAAAGGCTGCACGTAAGACCCACGAGGACCGGGAGGAGCCTCGCGGTTGTTTTTTGGCCAGCAGGCTGACTCCACCGAGCGGTGGAGGCTGCTGGCGCGGAGGGTTGGGAGCGCTGCGAACCCGCAGGTAGGGGGAGCGGTTCGTGGATGCCCGGCAAGCGAGGTATGGGCCCGCCTTCTGCCTCTCATCCTTCTTGTGGCGGGAACTGTCGGTCAGCCGTCCGGGTCCCAGCCCGCAGGTCTTGTCCTCAGGTCTCGATAGGTAGGTGGCAGCGCGGGTCCTGCAGGCGAGGGCTGTGGTTTCTGACGGCAGGGATGCCTGCGGGGATTCAGACCTGGCGGCTCTCCCCCAGCAAGGACAGCACTGCCCAGCTCTGGAGTTTGGCTTAGAAGGGGCCTCACCTGGATCCTTTTAAGGGACGTTTTGCTTTCTTTTTTTTCCTAGCGTGAGCAGGTAGTAAAACGGGAGCCCTTCTGTGGGGAGAGGGCAAGGAATGAGGCGAAGGCTGAACGGAAGCTCTAAGTAAAAGAACCTCCCTCCCTCGGGATATGTCCCAGAAAGAAGAGTGGAATTAGAATGGGATGGATATGGAAGCCGTCTCAGGGTGAGGGGAAGGTGGGTCTTTGAAACTTAGAATTTGGAAAGATGCTGTGGGCATAAGTTTAGGCAAAACGGCAGAATCAGAATTTTAAGTCTTTGAATGTCTAGAGAGGAAAAGGTAGAATAGTCTGTGCTTCTTAAATTCCACATGTATTCCTTCAAGCCTTAGTCCCCTGTGTGGTGGATGGTGGCGCTATTTCTAGGGCTCAGAGATATACAAAACACATGCTATATTATGTTTCTGCTGTAAATAAATGAGGAATAAATAGATCTTCCCACGTATATTGGACTGAGATAATATTTGTTGACTTTTTTTGGGGGGGATGTTTGGTAATAAAATGAGCAAATTAGTGCAAAATGGTGAGGGAATAATTTGTGTTCCCCTTAGGATGGGTGGCATATCGCTAAATAAGTATCCCTCTGAAAGGCAGTGCTACATTTATTGGTGCAGCTAAGACTCAGCCTCTCCTAACTCACCATTCTAAGAAGAGTGTTGCTACTTTCTTTCCTAGCTAAGTGATCCACAGGGAAGGTAAAAATCTCTTGTGCTCCAGACTGTGGGACAGTAGTTTCCCCAGGCACCAGATACTGGTGTGTTTTGGATTCTTTGTAGGTGTGCTGACAAACTGTGATAGATGTTTAGGCCTGGCACTGTTATGTGGAGATCCCTCTGATGAAACATTCAGCTGAGCAGGTTGTGCTGTGCAGCCTACAGTAGAGTACAACTTGCTGTAAGAAGTTAACAGTCCTAATCCAACATCAGCGCTCTAAAGAAGGATCTCAGCTTTATTGGAATTGAAGACATTGGCCTCATGGATTCATAGGGAATGTGGTTAGGGCAGTACACAGTTCTATTTGAAAGGGGACAGAGTGCTCCGGGCCCCAGTGAGGTAACTGATTGCAGTTATGTGCTTAAGCCCATAAATTAAGCATGAACTCAGAGTTATGTGCTCTTAGGCACTTGTCAAAATCAGGAAAGCCTCTTATTCTCTGGCATGGCCCATTTTTGTATCTTCTATAATCAATGAATCAGGTCATGAATAGATTTTCACCATGAAGGGGTTTTTCTTTTTTTTCCTGTATTCTCTACTCAAAGTGAGAGTAAACGACATTTGGATAGCACCCACACTAGTTTTACATCTTTGTTTGTGAGACTTTTTATTCCAGTGTCATAGCAAATCAGCATATCCGCTTTTTTTCTCTTCCTTTTTTGGGGGCATATATATAGGGGGTGCAGGTAGAAGATTTTGCCCCACTTCCTGGAGGGAACTCTTAAGTGGGTAGATGTTGACTCCTTTTATTGCCTCCTTTGGGTCTTAAGTGGTAAACTGTGATGAGATCTAATCAACGTTTTATTTGAGTCAGGTTCAGTGAGCAGGTTCTGTTCTCTAAAAGCGGCATTAAACTGTAAGCAAGCTAATTTTTGACAGAATGTTCCTACAGGAACTTTGTAAGCATTATATGCCCCATTTGTTGCAGAATATGAAATGTGGCATTTCCCAGAGAATGATGCCTGTAGATCTTGGTGTAATTTGTTTAATGTTTACAGTTGTTAATTTCCTCTCTTTCTTGAGAGGGGAAACCATTAGTTTTATGTTTAATCATAAGGGAAATTTAGGCCTTTAAAGGGGAAACTATCCAAGGGTCTTCTAGAAAAGCTTGCTCCTGGGTAACCTAAAATTGGAAATATGTCCAAATACACAATGGTTGAATATTGTTGTTTTGAGAGAGCAGATTACTCTAGCACAATGTTCTTTCAAACATTTAAAAGCAGAACCATTTGCCAAGTGTTATTATATGTAGGACCCAATCCCAAAGTGTGATTGCTGTAGCTGAAGAGGGCCACCAGTTGCTCCACCTACGCAGAAAGGCAAATCTTTGCCCCCTCCTCTCACTAGCAAGATGATCAGTGTTTTTCTCTTGAAGTACTTCCTCATCATTGCCCTTGGGGGCTTTCTCAGAATTCCGGTGCTGAGCAAAACAAACTTTTGTTGCCTTTAACTTTTTATTTGCAAGCTTTAGCCCTTTTTGTACTGTAGCCTTACTCATCCATTCTTACAGTGCTTGTCATCCTCCTGTATTTGTCCTTAGTTAAATGTCACATATTTTTTCCAACTTTTAAATGACCTGTGCATGCATACTTGTTTAGAGTTTAGGGATCAGGCAAAAGTTACATCTTGCCTACTGACTCTGATTAGTTCCACCAGGAGCGGTATACTGAGGAACTGAGGGCTCCTTCCAGCCCCAAAGGTTAAGAGTCTGCACTTAGTTGTGAGGTGTCTGTGTGTAGGATAGGCAAACATTTGCCTATGACTTCCATTTTCTTTTTGTATTGGCACTGGTTGTGGTAACAGTTGTATTTTAAAGAGTCATCTTCCCTTTTAGAGTCTTTCTAAAGTGAAATTGGGTCAATTTCTTGTGAATTCTTTGAAATATACTGCTTTAAAAATCTAGGATATGTATTTATGTTCAAGTCACTCTCCTCTTAGCTGTTACTAAAACAAATAGGGCTAGGTTGGGTTATACTGTAATAACAACCCTAAATCTTCAGAGATTTAAAGTAAAGTTTATTTTATGTTAACACTGAGTTGGCTGGGAACCTTGCCCCATGTTGTCCTCTTTCTGAGACTTGGTTCAACAGAGAAGACCTTGGTTTGAGTGTTTTCAATCATCATAGCAGAGAACAAAGTGTGTCATGCTTCATGATACATATATGTTAACTCTTAAAATCTTCCAGAAGTTACATATTCACTTTGCACATTTCATTGGCCAAATCAAGTCATGGCCATACCTAACTCAAGGAAGTGGGGAGTAGGATTTTAACATGTGCAGAGAACTAGAAACATTTGGACAGTCTACCCTTTTTGTCAATAGATATACTCCTTCCTACATGTACTTCATCCTTGGCTCTTCTCAGTGGAGATAACCCCTAAATCCCATCCAGTCACTGTCAAGCTCAAAGTCTGGGATCTCTGAGTAGTACCCAGTAGCCATAATCTCTTGTAGTCTCTATCTTTATAAATTATCTGTCTCCGTCACCCTGTTGAATACATAGTGTAGGGACAGATAACTATAAACTATAGTAAGTGTTCCCATTTGGAGAGGAGAAGAATGGAAGACATATACCAGACTCTGGACTGTAGCAATTTTGGAATCTTGCTGGGCAGATATTGCTAGACCTCTAAATTATAAGAAAAATGAAATGAAAAAACACATCGAATGACTAGCCCAATTTAAAAATAATTAGATGCAACAGACACAATATTACTGTGTGAAATTGCTATAAAAGCTTCTAAACATTTATATGCATTTTCTGTGTTTATCTCATTATTGTGGACCAGTGATATACAGTTCATATTCTAGCACATGCCCTGGAGCATAGTTCTCTATGGTCCTTGGCTTTATGCCCTGCAAGAGATCCTTTCATTTTTATTATCTTTGGCCCCACCTGAAGTTGGCTTTGGAGAATGTGGCTTCTTTCCATGGCTGAGCAGTTTTGTCAGCTTGTTTCCGGACCCTACAAGCATGGGGGCTTAAGGATTGTTTTAAGTTTTGAACAGCTTAGTCTTTTGGATGGTGGTGCTTCTTTGAGTACCTTTCTTTTAATACCTCGTTAAACACAATCAACAGCAACTATCACACAGTACTCATTTCTGTCTTCCAGCCTCTTCTCTTAGGGCCATAGATAAGTTCTTTAGCCACGTGAACCTAGCATGTGCTCATAAATTCATTAGGTACTTGTCACCTCCAACTTACTGTAGCGACAGTTTCATCAAATGTTTTGTTATTCCTTAACATGGATCATTTGTTGAGGTCTTGTCTCTA